GGGGCCACCACGACGACCACATTAGGTCCCTCGGAAGACAATGATGACGGCAGACGTCGTATAATTACGTTTGTTGTTCTGCCACTGCGGAGAACATGCGATTATCGGATGTTGGAGCGAGAGCGAGATCCAATTCCTTCCGTTGTTATCCCAATGAGGGAAAGATGTGGACGCCGTCAACGAAAGATGGGGCCACCTCTTGTCGCAAGTTGAAATGTCGAGGCAAAGTCACTAAGCTTTTCAGCTACCGCCACAGAGTTGTTTTTGTGCATCCTTGTGGCGCTTCAGTCATGCGAGACCGCGCAGAAATTCCACACGTGTTTCCTGAAGAAGTGGTTGATGTTGATGGCTAACCATGTGGACTCGCAACACAGTTGGTGAAACCGGCTTGGGGCAAATGTCATGCGGTCATCAACGAGCGAGGTCACGTTGAGGTTTCTTAAATTGCAAGATGACCACTAGATGTCAGCACTCATCCTTCACACTGTTCTTTTTTAAGTCCCGGGTTCAAGCATCTCGGCTTGTTATAACTGAAAGGCAGGAATTTGGAGTCTTAAAACTGCTGACAAAATTTGGCCTGTAGCCTCATGTGACTAATCTCTCCCTCAAGTCCCCGAGCAAAGCGACAGACATCACGTATGTTCACGAGACATGCACTTTATGGAATGTACACAGCAAAAAACATTCTGTGGCTGAACCGCCCGTCACCCAATGCATGCGTAATAGTCTTGGTCCAATTCTAAATGTTATTGGTTTTGGAATGTGCAATGAATTACAAATCTAAAATGGTGGTAAGCTTAGCCGTGAAGCAGAAATGTTGCTTATTTGTGAATCTTCTCAGCCGCCTGAGGCCCGCCAACCGCTGAAAGGCAGCTCCTGTCTTCATTCTTCTTTTGTCACAGCGTCCATCCACTTCCTCCTTTTTTACCTTGCTTAGGTGGATATTCCGCAATAATTTCAGCAAAGCTCCTGAAGCGTGAGGCTGCAGGGGGTTCCCCCCACCCCACCCCTCCCAGTGCACAGCAAATGATTGACACCGTATTAGTGTCTTTGGTTGATTTTATTTTTCACAGTTAATTTTCCTTTCTAACCTACTTTTAGGTTAATACGGACAATTTGAACAATTAACAAACACTGATACATTTTTGAACCCTCATCTCCCTTTTTGTCAGTAATTCCTAACCGCTGTGCCTGCTGGGGAAGCGATCCAATTTCACTTCATTGGCCCAAAAACAATTTATTTTATGGCAAATGACATATCATTGTCCATCTATCGATGCCAGCGACTTAGACTGACAGGGAGAATAATTGAATGCTCTTTCACTAGATTGCAGAAGGTACAATTAACCTGCATAGTCACCTGGAAACACTTGGAAAAATCCGATTTGGGCTTGGCCGACGTATTTCCAATTTTTTTTGTGCTCAGCCTTGTCCCAGCTGCACCTGTAAGGCCACAATGTGAACACAAGCACGAGACCAAATCCACCATGTGCCTGAACGCGTTTCGAAATTGCACTTGGGAAAAACACTTTGCCGCCGTCGTCGTCGCCGAAGGCCCTGCTGTCGTTTGACAACAGGGGGGCTTCAACTCCTGATTTTTATTAGGAACTCAAGTGCATTGCCAGTCATTTGGATGTGATGGCCCGATAGTGATGCCATTTTTGTCTTTTTATAGGACTTGCAGTTGGAGTACGGTCACGAGTCGCCCTGTCTGCTCGGAGGAAACAAGTAAGTCCTCCTGTCTTTGTGGCTTTCGTTGCCTTTGTGCCTCATTGTTCCCTCTTAGCATTCCTACTTGTATCGTCTTGGGATTTATTTCATTTGCAACTACAGGGCGCTTTGTATACATATTTACCGTCTCACAAGAGGACGGATGACTGTCACGCAGTCTCGCCAAGACGAAGCGGGATTGAATGACTTCAAATGTTTACTTTCCTGCTTGTTGCCTGCTACTAATAACGCCCTCGCGACTTGTTCCTCTCCAAACAGGAGTCTTCTGAAATCGGTGGAGGAGGAGCTGCAGCAGAGGTGAGTCTGATCTCCTCCTCCACTCCCGCGTGCGTCTTGACTAGGCACCTTTTTGATTTTTTTAATTTATTTTTTGTTGTTGCTGTCAGCCTATCATCGTTAACCAGCGATTAATCGGGTCTGATCACGCGCCATTAACAACTCCTCGCTGTTCACGGCCTGTCAGCGTTTTGCACTCTGCTGGGTTTTCGCTTGGCTCTTTTACCGTCACCCGAGTTGAAAGGTTGCGCTTATTCACCACTTTCCCGCAGAGCATGGCTTCCCACACACCGATACTCACACTCCACATATGCGCACGTTTGTCGTTGTTAATTCAAAGACTGCAGCGGGCGTCTTAAGCGATGACACTGGCAAATCTGCGGGGATTCTTCTTGCCTTGTTTTTTCCAAACGGCAATCTGTCGCTACATGTGCATTCTTGATTCTGTCAGTCATCACGAGTGCACCATTCATGTTAATAATTTGGTGATTTCAGCCCTTAAATGCAAGATGGAAAGAATTCAAGTTGGTCTATGAGGAATGGAACTCTTTTATTTCATGATACTTCAGGAAATTAGGCTCTTTGATTGTTGAGTTTGTAAGAAGTCGTTTGAAGGGTTGGCGGTTTGTGGTCAAAGCTTCACACAGCTCTAATCCCCCCCGCCCCCCCACCCTTTGACCTCTCTTCCTCATCTTCCACTTCCTCCTCTTCCCGTTGTCATCTCCGACCACCTTTTTGCTTGCGTCCTTTCTCCCTTCATCTTTCCCACCTCGAATCCCCGAAATCTCCCCTCCCCTTCCTATCTCCACCTCCGCTCCCAGGGGCCATGTGGCACACTTAGGGGATGATGAGGATGAGGAGGATGATGGTGCAGATGATGATGAAACTCACACTCAGTAAGTTCCCCAGTCATAGAACGGGAAGCCTCTCCGTCCTCGTTTCCCTCCCTTGCCCGCATCAAAACGAGGATGAGGAGCGGAGGGAGGAGGAGGAAGGCTTCCTGTTTGGCGCGACTGTTTCATCTGCGCATCTTGATGCAGCACACCGCACCATCACGCAACCTATGCCACCTGTGTTTGTGTGTGTGTGTGTGCGTGCGTGCATGCGCGCGCGCGCATCTTGGCAGCTTTTCATCTTTCCATAGATTGCCCTAACCCTAAAACTCACCTGGAAGCCAGCATTTTTGCATGTTTTTGCTGCTATTTATTTTTTTTTAAATATTAACAACCCTAACAGGATGTTCCTATAACACACTCAAGATAAGCGCAAGTGGTGACTGGGTTCCAGTTTAGGGTCAGAGTGTAGCTTTGGTGTCAAAGTGATCTTTGACGCTTCTTTGTTCGCCTTTTGTACCCACCGCCATCTCTCTGTGCTTCCTCGTGTGTGTGCGCATACATGCCAATACTGCTCGCCGCATCTTTGATCAGGTATTCGCTGACATGCGTTCTCATCCCTTCCTTTGCAAAAGCCAAGGTGGAAAGGCTTTTGTTGTTCTGTGCTTTGCTTGATGCGTTTCCCCCCCCCACCCCTACAAAGCTGGATAATCACCAATTCATGTGGCGTTTTTTTGTTTTGTTTTTTTACTTCGGGACCTGGATTTGGCACCTCTAGAAATAAGCAGCTAACCAACTTACATATTTGTGTCATTTCACACTTCCTGTGCGGGCATGCACTACGGAGACCTAATTATTTGTAATAAAAAATTCACTTTTCAATAATATGTCCCCTTTAATTGATTTTACATCCGAAACAATAGTTGTCGTAACGTTAACTTAAAATGTGACGCACTGTCCTGTGGTGCAAAGTCAGTGTCACTCTCTCTTCACCTTTTCTCACCGTATAGTAAGATGAACACTATCCTGAGACCAAAGGTCCCGCCCCCGCTTCCGCCCAAGGTAGGTGTCAGACCTGTAGTAAAAAAAAAAATGTTTTTTTCTTCAGTGAAACAATTAAGTCTAATAATAGAGGGGCAAAGTTGGGGGAAAAAAATCTCAATCCGACCCTTTTTGTCTCCGCTCCCCAAGCCCAAGTCCATCAGCTCGCCCCAGCCCAAACAGGACGACAGCCAATCGCACAGCGAGGACGACAGCGGCGGCGGCGGCGGGACCATCAAGCGCTGTCCAGCCCCGCAGACGGCCAGCCCCGCCAAGCCCGCCTCCAACGTGCCCCCGCGGCCGCCGCCCCCGAGGCTGCCGCCGCACCGCCGGAGCAGCCTAGGTAACGAGACCGCAAACGAGCGCTTGGACGCAGACACCTGCGCCCCGGAGGACGATGGGAGCTTTAGGCATTTCTGGGAGTGGCTCCACACGCCTCACACAGAGGAGGAGCTGGAGGAGGCGTGGGAGGTGCTGAAGGAGGTGAAAGAGGAGCAGGAAAAAGAGAATGAGGATGAGAGTAAGAGTCCGTAGTTTGATCGAATCCTTTTGCCCCACCCCCCTCCAGTTGTCCTCTCCGACTGATTTATCTGTCCCATGAGTCTATTAATAGCAGTCCTTTTAATGTCTCCTGGACTGTGTTCGGAATCACTCCCGATCCACTACGTTGTGCCTTACGAAATGAGTTTGCCATCTTGTCGTGCTGTCCGAATGTGTCGCGAGTAGGAATGGAAAAAAAACAAAAGACGAAAATATGCCCACTAATTCAATTCCCCGGAATCGTGGTTTGCATGACGATTCCACCAACTCGGCTGCTGGTCAGGCCGCTTAAAGCGCATCTTGTCTGGCGCTCTGATATTTTCTAAGCGATGCAAAAAGTGCATTCTACTTTTTGTTCTCTTGAGATAATTGGAGAAGTTTGTCAGTCACTTAACTTTTGTAGTTATCCTAAAAGTGCATTGCATATTATAAATTCTGATCTTCTGTCCATCACACAATAAGAATCAATAAGACAATCAATCAGGGATCAGATGAGTAAGTGGTAGCAATAATGGAATCGGGATTACAAAGGTTTCTTTTGTCAAGTCTCATCTCCTGTGGGGAGTACAAATTATCACCTGCTTAAGCGCCGTCAATGTATCCCCATCGCAAATGGTAAAAGTCGCGAACACGGTACGGTCGCTTTAAAATCAATGTTTCCCCATCGTGTGTTGTGCCGAGACAGAAAAAGCAACCGTCACATGCAGTTGGAAACGAGAAGTACCCTCTTGGTGTAAATCGTGTACAATGCGCTCGTCTCAAAACAGTATTGAAATGAATGAATTTAAAAACAAATCATCTTAAATATAGTGATGAGGGAATGATTCCGAACACAGCCCGTGTGTCTGTAGTTCTTTTGACCCATCAGCTTTTCGCTCTGCCCTGACACTAATGACTCTCCACCTGATTGGTTGCTGCCACTCATTTAACAGCGGCCGGCGAGCCCTCCCAATGAGGATGAAGGAAGAGGAGAGAACTTGTTCTCGGAAAATAAAAGAGTAAAGATGACCGTTTCACATGGCCGCATTGATCGTGCGAGCCTGCTCCCCTCTTCCCTCCCTCCCCACCATCCCTCCACCCGCCTTGTAGTCAGTTTTCGCTCTCTATGTCGTCAGTCCCGTGAGTCCAACGATGCACGATCTCCTTCAAGCCTCACCCCAGACTGACGCTTTTTTTTTTTGTGTGTGTGTGTGTGTGGCGTATTTCTGCAGGGAACGGCCTGAGCGCCTCACACAATGGTGAGCGCAACAGTCCTGCAGACAGACAACAGTCCACGATGCCCCCTAGCGTCCCCATACGGAAGGACAAGAAGGATGTTCCGGTAATTTGTCCATCATGAGTCTCAGTAAATGATTTAAGAGCAGAAAGAAAGTCGCCTCATAAGAAAACAGAAATTCGCTATCGTCATTTTTCTTTTTAAAAAAATGTGCATTTTCCACTTTCCGTGTGTTTGTGTGTCAATTTATGTCAGATGCCAAGTAGCAACGGGCTCCCACCTACACCCAAAGTCCATGTAAGTGTTTCGGTGAACTTGCAGGTATTAAGAATTGATCTCTGAGATTATTCGTCGTTTTCAATCACACCTCCTGCGCCGGCGTTTGCAGATGGGTGCGTGTTTCTCCAAGGTGTTCAATGGCTGCCCTCTCAAGATTCACTGTGCCACCTCCTGGATCAACCCCGACACCAGAGGTAGCAAATATAGAGGAGGGGTATTTTGAATTTGAATGAAGTTAATCAATGGACTTATGACAATATAAAGGCAAAAACAAAATAGGAATATAAAAGAAGAAAAATAAAATTGACCAAAAAAAGGAGGAATGAATCATACAATTCGCACAAATTAATCGAAAGACGTAGGAGGAAGTAAAAACAAGATCCTACCTCAGTCTTGACAGTACATAAAGACAGTACAAAATGTTCATTGCAGCTCTGCTTACCTTTTTGACTTCGACATGATCGTCCCTCAGACAGCGTCCTCCGACTGTAGCTTGAAAGTGGCGTACCTTCCCCCAGGCTAGCCGCCGGCTCATGTTGTGTTTGTCCAGCTGCCGAGCTAGTTGTTGTTGTGCGTTGTTTCAGATCAATATTTGATATTTGGCGCCGAAGAGGGAATTTACACACTGAACCTGAATGAGTTGCATGAGACCACAATGGAACAGGTGAGTCATGCGCTTCCTTATTAGTATGTGGTCGATACTTTGGTGCGGAGTCACAAGTTGTACGGCATTTTGTAACAACAACAACATGCCTTGCCCCCTTGTGTCTGCGTAGCTTTTCCCTCGCCGCTGCACGTGGTTGTACGTCATGAACAATAATCTTCTGTCAGTATCCGGTAAGTCATTTCACATTTTGTCACACGGCAATTAGTGACAGCCATTAATTTGCCCTAACCAACAATTAAAGGGTGTTTCATTTGTGCCTTTGCGTGTCCAGGAAAAGCCTCCCAGCTGTACTCTCACGGCCTGCCGGGACTCTTCGACCAGGCCAGGCAGCTGCAGAAGTTACCCGTAGCCATTCCCACACACAAGCTGCCTGATAAGATGATACCCAGGTAAAGGTTCCAAATAGCATCAATTGTACAATCCAGATTTGGAATATTTGCTCCCTGTTTGAATGAACGGAAACTCAAGTCAAATCCCTTCATGGTTGAACTGTCATTCATTCCAAAATATATCGTTGCACAGCTGCTGGTTTCAATAATGCGTATAAAATAGTTTGTATGTTGCCATGTCCATGCTACAGATACGATCATCCTTTAATGATCCCCAGCAGGAGAATTTGGAATCTAATATATTCATATCATAAACTCCTCCTATTAATAGCAAAAGAGTTAAATCTTTTCATGATCGCTAAATTTGCGCATAACTTTCAGGGGAGACAATGACAAGGGCTCGCACGTTATGATAAAATACGGAACTGGACCTGACATTTCAGCGGAAAGCATGACAGCCTTCTGGTAGGAAAACATAAACGGTATTATTACAAAGTGACACAAAATAATATTTTCACATCATTGGCCAAGTGTTCAATATTTAGGGTTTCGTCTCATTTCTGGACAGGTTTTAGCTTTTTGTTCGTGTGTCTGTGAAATTGGAGGCGTGATTCCAAACCGTATGACTGCTCTCGAGTACGTCACCTCAGAGATGAACCAACGTTGTTTTGTTTGTTTGTTAGCGGGTTGCTAAATTGGATCAACCTCTTGACGTCACTAAATAATTACCGATCCAATTTAAGAAATACCGTAGTCACTTTTTAAATTGCCCTATTGTATTTTTTCCTTGAACAGGAAGTTTGCCGTTTCCACGAAAATTCCAGACACTAAAGGGTGCCAAAAATGTTGCGTGGGTGAGTATTTTTATCACCCACAAATAGGTAGCATGAATGTTTCAAATGCATCGTGGCATGAAAGGCAATTCATATTTTCAAAGTGTGCGGTGTTGTGATGATGTAAGATGATGTCACCGCCGCGAACCTCGTTGTCTCCATTATTGCTGTTTGGGTGTGCAGTGCGCAACCCGTATACAGGCCACAAGTACCTCTGTGGGGCCTTCCAGTCCCACGTCATGCTGCTGGAGTGGGTGGAATCCATGCAGAAGTTCATGCTCATCAAGGTCACGATGACATTTTCCGTGTTTTCAATCACCATTGGCTGCTCTGCGAATTCAAACTCATCTTTTTTTGGGGCCCGGGTGCGAAACAGACCATCGACTTCCCTCTGCCGTGCCCGCTGGAAGTGTTTGAGATGTTGGTGGTCCCGGAGCAGACTTACCCGCTCATCTGCGTGGCCGTCAGCAAAGGGAGCGAGCTCAACCAAGTGGTCCGCTTCGGCACGGTCAACCCCAACCCCAACGCTACCTCCTCCTGGTTCACAGAGACTGGTGAGAACGCACCCCTCTCGCATGCGTCAATTGCAACGAGCCTGCAATTAGACAGTGCCGCGGAAAGGCCACAACGACTCCAATGCCCTGAAGCACTCCACTCGACAAGTTGCAGGAAAGAATGATTAGCCAATCTGAAAAGATGGATTTATATGACGTCGGCATGCAATCCTTCTGCCGTTTTTTTGTTTTTTTGTTTTTTGTTTTTTTTCTGAATTGAATGGGTGTGTAGCACCCACCACATGGGCGGGTCGTTGAATAGCCAACCAATGTCACCATGGTGCCAAATCTTAGCATGCCTTTTGCCTAAAGCATTAAAAGGCTTTTAAGTGTTGGCTATTTGAACACAAACAGTGTGGCAAAACACATTATACCAATAATCTAACATTGCTCATATATTCTTTATGTTTTGCAAAAAGGGAGTAATGTTACTGTAGTTTCATCGTAGAAAGGGTTCTGTCAGTCGTCATCTGTACCTGTGGGTAAAAAACAAAAAAAAAAACAAAAAAAACAAAAAAAGCAAAAAAGGACGTTTCGCTTCTCTCACAGAAGCTTCGTCAGCGGTAGACAACCCTGAAGTCTCCGTGAAGACTCCGGGAAGTTGCTCTGCGCTAAAAGGCTGAGCGTGGCCTATTTGAGGACTGGGTGGGGATGGTTAGTCACGCCCCTATGGTGAAGAGGCCCATTGGTTTCTAAACTCCCTATCATTGGGTCTTGATTAGGCCTATTGTTTGGGCTAAGGCTGAATAGCTACTTTCAGTTAGCCTGATCAGCATGTCTATGTCCCTTACTGGTCAACAAGTTATTGTAAATAGGAGACAGGTTAAATCTGATACCTCCTTCACGGTTCAGAGAGGGTGAAAATTTTTTAACAAAAATCGCTTCCTTTACTCCCCTTTCAAACCATCTCTTTTCTGTTCCTAGGATTTTTACTTGTTCATCTTCAATTGTGTGGTTTGTTTCTTTTAAGTGTGCGTATACTGCACTTTTGTTATCATTGTTTTTCCATTTGTGTTGATAAAGTCTTTTCTTGAGTGTTTGTTTGGTTTCTCCAATGTAATGTTCCTTGCACTCACTTTCTTGGCAACGGATGGAATAAATCAGATTGCATTTTTGGGTGTTAGGAACCCGGTCTTTACTGACAGAACCCTTTCTACGATGGAACTTTCCTGTACGACTGAGAGCCTCCACAAGCAAGTTACTGTAGTTTATTATACTGCTCCTTGGTGGCCAAGTTTTTTTATTAGTTATGTTTTTCTAAAGTACAATATTATAGAGTGCGACCTTCCTTTAAAAAAAGGATGAGACATTTTTTTGTTAGTTTTTTTAGGGGACGCTGGAACGGATTAATGGTGTTTCCATTCATTTCATTGGGAACAGATGATTTCCAATGCGTCTAGTTTGAGTTTCATCATTTCATCACAGCCGAGCAGAATAGCACGGAGCTCATTTACCAGAAGCTCTTGTGGTGACTCAGAATCCTTCCCTTGTTCCTTCCACAAACGCACACACACACACACACACACACACACACACACACACACACGCACGCACGCACACACACAAGATCAACACAATCTGTCCACTACTGGCGCCAAGCCTCCTATGACTCGGACCAAAAAGCCTAAAATGTCACTGTGAACCTGAGTATCACGACCCTTGTGAGGATAAAGCGGATCGAAAATGGATGGATAATAAAATTAGGCTCTGTTTCAGTCTTTTTTTTGAATGTGGTTGAAGATGAATTAATTGTTCCATTCTAGTAGATGTCTTGTGTCCCGCTTGATTTTTGGTTCCGTGGTCTCCAGGTGTGTTCTTTCTCGCCACAGACACGCCTCAGACGTGCGTGATCCACGTCACTCAGCTGGAGAGGGACACCATCCTCGTCTGCCTCGACCGTGAGTCGCCTGCAGGTCTTTACGACGACTCCCAGTAAAGCAAACACTTCTCATTTCTCGTTTCTCCGAATCAGGGTGTATCAAGATCGTCAACCTCCAGGGCCGACTGAAATCCAGCAGGAAGTTGTCGGCCGAGCTCACGTTCAACTTCCAGATCGAGTCCACGGGTAAGAAAGAAATAATTGGAACGCATTCAACTCGGAAGTTGAAGTAGCACTGAACTTAAATTAAAGTCAAAGATATTCTGTGGTAGCCATTTTTGCTTTTTCTTTACAGTTTGTCTCCAGGATAGCGTGTTGGCCTTCTGGAGGCATGGCATGCAGGGGCGGAGTTTCAAGACCAACGAGGTGAGCCGGGTTTCTTTTCGCAGAACCCACATCGCTGTGTTTTTGTTTTGTTTTGTTTTTGTATGTAAATCTATTTTGTTTTTTTTTTTTGTGCATTGTGCATTGCCTCAAGATCACGCAAGAGATCTCGGACAGTACGCGTATCTTCAGACTACTGGGGTCAGACAGGTGGGCATGCGTGCGCACACACACACACACACACGCACACCCCGTGGGGCATTAACATTGTCTGATGCCTTCTCACAAAAAGACGAGATGACCACAGAGATCCCCATGACAGAGGCGTCACTGTGGCAAGGTATCCCCGACTCTCTGTTGGGACTTTTGAGGCCTGCTGACATTGAACATTTTGGACTGTTGGAGAGGAAGTGTGTGTGGGGGTTTTGTTTTTTGTGGGTAAGGGGGCGGTTCTTGCTTGATGAGAGTGAAGAGGCCAAAAGTCGACTAGTGTTGCTTTGAACAGCAATTGGAAGTCGATGAGCGGCTTTGGAAAGAAACGAAGAAAGTTTTATTTAGGTGTCTGCACACTCGCGTTTTAACGTCCTTGTTTGATGACTTCATCTTTTCTTTGGGGGTCTTCCCGTGGTGATAAATCACAGCACTTTATGCCGTGTTCATTCAAACGCGCGGGCATTTTTCAAACTTTTTGGGGGCGGGGCTTCCATGGGTCAGTGAAGCAAATAATGCGAAAATGCTTTGTTTTGCACTTGACAGCCTGCAAATGCATTTTTGTTTTTAATCCATTCTCATCTCTATGTGCATATTTGTTATTTTCAGGGTGGTGGTGCTGGAGAGTCGGCCGACCGACAACCCGACAGCCCACAGCAACCTCTACATCCTGGCGGGCCACGAAAACAGCTACTGACACACTCGCTCACGCACACACAGACACACACACATGCTAACAGACCCCCCTGCAACCCCCTTTCCACAGTGTCGGAGAGACGCCGCGGTGCGTTCAAGGGCAGATGACTTACGTAAGACACAATATCCTGCTCATGACGCCCAACCAGGAGGTCGAACCTCCCACACCACTTGTACTACTTCGTTGTACACATTGCGCTACTACTGCGGCCATCTTGCACAGACCCAGCCCCCCCTCACTCTTATTTATTGTGGCATGATGTTAATCCGCCAGCAGGACGACAACTCTCCTGGTTTTATTGTGTGTGGAGAAAAAAAAACACAAAAAAAAAAGAGGAGAAGGCTTTCGGCCACCTCCGCTTAGCAACAACAGCCACATAAGTGCTTAACTGATGTCTATTTAATTGATGTACATATAAATGTAGTATTTTTGGACAGATATGAACACTAAAACTGCTCGTGTGTAGTTAGGCGTGTGCGTAGTTGCCCGGCACAAACAAACAAACAAACAAGCAAACAGTCAGATGGCGGACAGACGAGGGGAAGTAGGCGACTCTCTTCCTGGTTCCCTGATATGTGACAAGGAAGCAGCGTGTGGACCTGTCGAGAGATGCAGATACGCTATGACGACTGGTTCATTCTACACCCACGCCCCCCCTTTTTTTTTTTTTAAACAAACATATTTCATTTTTATGCAGTTCTGATCATAAGGCTTTTTATGTTTGTTTGTTTTTTTTAATTGAACCACTGGTGTTAAACATTTGCACAGAGAAAAAGGTGTGAGAGAAATGTGATGTCATGACGCGCGAGTGTGTGTGCGTGTGTGTTATAAATGTGCGTCTGTACATACATCTGGTCCATAGCAAGCATCATGAACGTCGGTTTTCTCCTTTTTGCGTTTTAAAATGACTGAAGGGGGTTTTTTTTTGGTCACTTGATAATATTTGGATCAAATATAGACTTAAAACTAAAAGGAGCTTTTGGATAATGTTAAAACGTTCCCTCTTTGCTACAAAAACAACAAAAAAAACTGTCGGAAAATGTAAATGTAAACTGTAGTAGCAAAAGTTTCTCTTCTGAGCGGTGTGATTTGATGTCAACGCAACGCAATCATCATGCCGCATCTTTTTTGGGTGGTTTCCCCTTTTTCATGATCTCTTTAAACGGTCTCATTAGCAACTTTAACCAGAGCTCAAGCTTGCTTTTGTTTTCTGCAAGCGTTTGCCCCCCCTCATTCATTCGTTTTGAAGGCACATGACATTCATGTGGTGTAGTTTGCTTTCTGGTCTTTTTTTTTTTTTTTTTTTTTTTTTGCCCCTCTAGAAGTTCCTTCTGGTGCACGGTCATCATTTGTGAACCCCGAACGTTCCTCAACAGCTTAGCAGGAAATTGTATTGAAAATGTAACCGACTGAGTTGGAGCCGGGTGGAATATTGTCACGTTCTCTTCCATGACAGCGCATGCAGCGAGCATCCTGGTTTTTTTTTGTTTTTTTTTATTATGATGGCCTTCCCCCTCCAAGTAAACCCAGTGCTGGCCCGGCCGCCCCTGAGATTGTGTCTCCAGCCTTGCTTAAGGGACGAACGGACACCCGGCGTCACAACCGAGCGCTGAAGCGCTTGGCCAGCCGAACCTCCAAAAGTCCCAAGGTTGCCTTCCCATGATGAACATCCTGCGGGTTTTTTTTTTTTTTTTTTAAATTTTCAGTGAAAATGGAAGCAACACCCATCCTTGTCTCGTCATCGGTTGCCGGGTGACGCTCGATATGCTGTTGTGAACAAATTTCTCTTCAGTAATTGCTCTTCTTGACCTTGAGTCTGAACTCCGCCGGACACTTGTTCTTGCTCGACCTCCTCACGTGTCCATTTAAGCTGCTGTGTACGATTTGCCCGTTGTTCTCCCAATTCCGGGAGAGGAATGTGTGGTGAGTCTTTGAATTTCCGAAGCAGGGTCAATTTAGGAACCATCTGAAAATGAGAATGAAGGCAAACTTGAACGTAAACAGGCCATTCCGGTGCCCCATGTGATCGTCTGGACAAGATGGAGAAAAGGTCTCTCCTTGTTTGTATTTTGGGAAGCTGTGAAATGTCTACCAGAAGAGAACTGAATTAATTATATTGTCCAAAACGTAATCGTGACCCACCCCCCCCCCTCCACGAATGATCACGTGGATGTTAAAATGCGGAATTGACTCATTTCATGTGAAACCCACACCGTGTCAATTTAGATTCAGTCGGCCTCGTGATGGTGTGGATTTGTCAAGTCACATTTGACAATATGAATGACACATTTCCACTGAAATGTGTTTTGAATTTTACCTCCTGTTACACAAAAAAAAAAAAAAACGCCCCAATATGTTTTACTCTTACCACCCAGCATATTTAATGTGAACACTGACACAAACACACACTAAATGTCCGACTTTCATCTGTTCTGTTTTGACGCTTTTGTTTATTTTTTGCGTCACACACATATTTGTTTGTGTTTTTTCACGCTGCAATACGCACGTTATGACATGTATATAGTGTAAAATAAAAATGGGTTTGTTTTACATACTGTACAATTGCCTATAATTTTGTTTTGAGAAGTGTAACAAGATTTATGAGGATGAGAGGTTAACACATTAAAAAAAAAAAAATGCGATGCCATATTTCAAATGGTCATTTTGTTGGTTAGATTTAGGGCCCAACCGATTAATCGGTCATCATTAGCGCTTTTAAAATAGGCAAAAATCTGCAATTTTTTTTTCAACTTTCACACATTTTATTTTAGTTTTATTATAACCTGAGACAAAGATAACGACATTCAAACACGCGAACAATAAAAAGGCCTTTTTTTTCAGATTCTGTTCTGTGTTGTAAAATTAAACTACTGGTAAACTGTTGTTAAACGGCTAAATGTTCGTCCTGTAATTGCTAGGGGGGAGGGACTGAAAAGTATTTGTCATTTATTTGACATTTTTTCAAATTAATTGGCTCATTAATCACTTACCGGAATTTTGCTCTGCCCAATATCAAAACTGTCATCGGCCTCAAAAAAATCCATCTTGGTCGGCCGTGGTTTATAGTGATTCAATAATTCAATGCCGCTTGTCGCCAAGTGAGGAAATACATTTGACATTTATTTGTAATAAAATGATACTTAACATCAGCTTACTTGTAACTTTAAAGACAAAAAAAAAAACAAATCCAAATTGGCCTTAATTTCAGAAGCGCTAGCTCAGACATACAAACGTATGCGTGTCTACAATTCGATCAGCACAATATGTCGAAATTGAAGCCAAAGCGTTCACATTTGTGAATAGTCTGCAAAAATCTTGACAATGTCGCCTTGCTGTGTCGTCCACCTGCTTCTGAGTTAGGCGAATTCGCCTTCCCGTTTGAAACTCAGCTCTCAAAGAACTACGTGGAAGTGAGTTGAGAAGTTTTTCGGCTTTGTCGCCATTTTGTTGCACTTGTAAAACTTTTGCGGCAGTGTAAATTTTTCACTCTTTGTGAATTTTAGTTCTTCCACCTGTTGCGCTTTATTTCGGTGCGGTGGATAATCAAAGCGTATTGTGGTGCAGATGCAGTTTAACACGCGCTCACACCGCAGTGCCTCTGATGTCCGCTTGTTGATTTTCGTGACCTTTTTCCGCCGCCTTGTCCTTCTTGTCGTCGCCGCCCCTGTTAGAAAGCAACGGTTTCATCATCGGGCACGCCCTACTTTTTTATTGGACTAAAACAAAACACGGCGTCCCACTTCTTACTTCTTCTTAAAAAGTTTCTTGAAGGAGCTCCTAAAGCCTCCCTTGTCCTGCTTGCGGCTGCGCTCGCTGAAGGGCGTGTGGTGGTGGGTCTCCTCACCGCCCCATGGCTGCGTGGCCTGGTCCTGACAAGAGGAGCGAGCGCAAAGACGTGGGAGTAAATCTCAAGTCTTTCATCTTCCAACTTTCGCGCTAGTGCCAAAGTGACCGGAGCAAAAATTAAACCGGTCTCAATATTTTCTTTTGTCTTCTCACTGAAACTGACGTAAATTTCAGCAGGGCTACTTTCTGATTTATGAAGACACCCCCCCCCCCCCCCCCCCGTTCTACCGTGACTCTAGTGGCGAAAAAAAGTGAAATTCCTTGTCCAAATTCGGTTAAAAAAATTTTTTTTTTACATGCTGGTGTTAAGTTTGTCTGGATAAAAATGAGCATGCCACTTTGTGCTTCATGGGAAATGAGCAAACGTCATGAGTTCTTCCCAAGCCACATTTTTCCCATTTTTTAAAAATTCTGAGAAAAGAAGATAAACGAAATACACGCACCACCTTCTTCAGAATTTAACCATGACCAAAATGATTTGTGATCATTCGTGTAGCCCCAAAAAAATGTGAACCAAACTTGTGACCGTTCCATCGTAATTCCTCCGAAGCATTTTTCTCACGATTATCACCCAAATGTCCTTGTCGCATCTTTTGTGCTCAAAATTGCAACGTGGCGATTGATCATGCCCATCGGTGCGTTTACCCCCACCAAACCAAGCAGCCCGTGAAGGTCGTCGCTCGGCTTCTCGCCGTCCTTCCTGCTCCCCGGCGAGCTGTGGATCTTGCGCGAGGGTGTGGCGCAACCTCTGCTGCCCTGCCGCTCCAGCTTGGCGTGGCCGCCGTCCACCGCCGTGCTGTCCATCTGCAGGCCGTTCAGCGACTGCAAAAGACAGAAAACGCGTCGATGAGTTGCCGAGAATCTTCCGCGGCTGATCTTCTCACCTTGCTTTTTTTGCGCTGGCTGGCCTGAAGGGGGCGAGGGTGAGCGTAGTGCATCAGCACAGCCTCGTTCGGAGGTTTGCTGTACCCGTCGCCCGACGCGTCCCGGTTTGTCGGCACGTGGCGCGACGGGGTCGCGGGAGCTTTCGGACACTTGACGAAGGCGATGTCGATGGACGAGTCGGACGAGGCCGAGGAGCAGCGATCGAACGCGGACGCTTCGTGGAGGGAGCTCCTTTCCTCCTCGTAGAGGCACTCCAGCCCCGGGGGGTCCGGTGGGAGAAGGAACTCCTCCAAGGCGTCGGCCAGAGCCGAGCCCGGCTGGACCTGCCTGAATTCCGACATTCGGGAAGGCGGGTGATGCTGGAAAGAGCGCTCGGATGCTTCGGTTTCGGGAATGCTGCCCAGACCTGGAAGCCAAAAGGTTGGCGAGGTCATTCCGATTTGCATTTATTGATTTTACAGGTAACCCAAGAACCTTCCAAACCTGCGGGTTTGTGTTTGCGCAAGTCCAAGTCGTGGCCGTAGTACTGCAGCTGCGGCGGCGGCCAATCGGCATCGCGGCAGTTGGCTTCGGGCTCCTGCGCGCGATCCCGATCGTGGAAGCGATGGCCGGACTGGATCTGCTCCAGGAGACGCTGCTTGCTGTGTTTGGCCGGGTTCGTGTGCTCCCTTGTCCACGTTGAATGGACCACAAAGAACAAGCTGGTGGGTGAGTTTTTCTTTTTATTTACACAACGATTGTAGCTTGCACTTACAGCAAAGTGCTGTTGTGGGGGTAAGGAGATCCTTGAAGGCCGCCTTCCATGGTCCTCAGAAGCTGCTTCATGGACGACCTGCCGCCGGGGGAACACGCGCACACGTCGTCCGTATTTCCCTCGCTTTGTGTTTTGCCAGTGAGACGGTTGGGACCTTTTGACCTCCTGGCGGTTGTGCATCAGGAGCTCCTGGTTGCGCTGGAGGAGGTGCTGCTGCTGGCTGGAGAAGCTGCGGAACTGCTGGATGCACACCAGCAGTAGGTAGTAGTCTGGGTGCGAGGCCTCCGTCTGCCTCAGCAAGGCCTAAACACACACACACACACAGATGTATACATAAGATACATAAATATAAAAGCACTAAGTGTGGTTTTTTTTTTTGTCTGTATTGTGCTTCACCTGCAACAGCAGCAAGTATTCTGGAATCCTCTGCACCGGTTGCAGGAGCAGCGTGTGCAGGGAGGGTTTGGACTCGTCACCCATGATGTCACTCTTAGAGACAATGAGACCACCAATCACGGCAAGAGCGGGGCGTGGTCCAAGTTGGCCAATCAGTGGGAGGGGGGTATTGACGGAGGGGAGGGGGAGAAGGGGTGGGAAGGAGGGAGAGTGAGGAGGGTGAGAAGGAGGCAGAGGAGAGAGAGAGAGAGATTTTTTTTTTCAGGGTGATTTTTCTTTGTGTTGTTCGTGATTTTTTTTTTTGTGTTTTGGATTACGTGACAGAAATATGAAAATAGGCTCATAGTTTAACAGGCAGCCCAGTGGGCCAGTGGTTAGCGCATCGACCTCACAGCGCAGAGGTACCGGGTTCAGTTCCAGCTCCCGGCCTCCCTGTGTGGAGATTGCATGTTCTGCCCGGGCCTGCGTGGGTTTTCTCCGGGTACTGTGAGGTTCCTCCCACATTCCAAAAACATGCGTGGCAGGCTGATTGAACACTCCAAATTGTCCCTGTTTTTCCATTGCGGGGCCTGTGTTGTGTTTTTACCTCCAGGAAGGCGGAAGATTTGATGGCGTTGGAGGCCAGCATGGTGACCACGGCCAAGCAGTCGGGCAGCTCCTTGAGGTAGGACACGTACAAGTCCAGGAAGTCACTCTGGGGGAGGGGGAGGAAAAAAAACAGTCCACGCCCAAGTCACATACTCAGTGCACAGTGTTGGCAACTGGTTAGTTTTTGGTACAACGAGGGGGATTGTTTCACAACTGTGCTGGCATTTTTTTTTCAGGTCAGGGATTGTGATTGATTAGAAATTGAGGCGTCATGACAGCCAAATGTTTGGCTCTATTGCTCATGATGATTGTCAGCGCATGTATTGGTGACCTGGAAAAGTATATTTCATGCTCATTCCATGAAAAAAATTAATAAAAAATAATGCATCGGCAGTAGATTACGGTGTTGGACTATATTCGGTTACGCGACCTCTTTGCTGGTGAGCCTCATGAAGATATCTCCCATGATGCCTTGCCACTGGCGCCTGAGGATGCGGTCCTGCAGGGTGTGCAGCAGGTCCAGGTGTTGCTGGATCAGGAACCTCAGCGAGCTGGGAAACGGACTGTTGCCCGCCCGGGGAAGACATGACATCATCGATTTTTGTGGATTGTGGTTCCCTCGCGTTTACACTTAATTTGTGATGAACTTTTGTCAAAAGCGGTGTAAAACCCAACGCGATCGCTAGCCAAAGGAATTAAGAATTAGCCATTGTGCTTTTTGTAAACACGTGCATGGAGGTTTGAACCGCAATGACATAAATAGCTACAGTGTCTTATTAGATTTTTTTCCATTTCCTGCTTTCCATTCACTGTAAAAGTTCACTTTAGATCACGGGTGCGCACGGAGGTGTGCCCACTAATCATGAAGTTGTTTTCAGCAGCGACCCCCCCCACACACACCGTTTGTCTTTGGCAGCAAGCGCTTCCGAGCCGTTGAAGGAGATGTTGGCCTTCAGCAGCAGAGACAAGTGGGACACGTAGATCCTCTCCGACTCCAGCAGCTCCAAGGCAGCCTTCTGTCTCATACCTGCAAGAAAAGAAGAAGAAATTGCATTCTTTGTGAATTCCAGCATTTGTGCCTAATTCCATTTGAGGTGGGGAACTAAGTTTTGTTTTGTTTTTTGTTTTTTGGCGTGACTTTATTTTTTTTGTTTTATTTTTTTCTTTTTGTTTCATTTTATTGCTTGATTTTATCTTTTACTTTAATCTCATTTTTTAATTTCACTTGATGATACTCCATTTAGAATTTTTTTGCTGTTTTTTTTTTTTTCATTTTATTGTATCTAGTTTTATTTAACTGGCATTTTCGATCCTACTGGGTTTTTTTAAGCCATTTAGGATTCCGGTGTATTTAGATTTTACTAATTTCAATGAAGGCGACGCGGTGGTTGAATGCTTAGCACATCGGCCTCACAGTGCAGAGGTGCAGAGTTCAATTCCAGCTGCCCTAATTGTATTTCATTTATTATATTCTTTCATTTTGCCTTGTGTTTTATTGTTTCTTATTTTTCATCTGTTTTTTTTTATTACAATAATTTGTATAATTGTTCAAGAAATTAGAAACTATTTTCCTTTTCTCATGGTTTTTGTTATGAATCTATTTCTTGTTGTTTTTTTTGTTTTTTTGTATGTTGTTTGCATTTTGTGACAGTTGCAGTTAAGTGTCCTACAAATAAAGTTTGAGTTTATGGCAAATGAAACATGACCGCATCGATCCACAGCCATTTCCTGATCATTTTGTGTACCTCGTGGGAGTGGGATTGCGTTTTCTCACTGTTTTCATTGAGACTGTCCGGCGTTTCCGTGTCCTCTCTCCCGTTCCTGCCGTCCCCCCACACCGGACTTCTGGACGAAGAGCATCTCTGTTGCTCCGAAGTGGATGCTGGAACATATTTCATTTGATTACATTTCATGGAACATTTTCACAAAACGCCATTTAGCCGCTCACTCTGCGCGGACGCGACACTCCTCTGCGACTGCGGTGACTCGCCAAAGTAGCGCTGGATGATATTGAGCTCCGATTGGCCCGGTGCACAGAGGCGCTCGTCCTCAGATGCGCTCAGCACATCGGACTTAGAGCTCTTCCTGCTTTTGGACCAATCAGAAATACGTGTGAGTCTCTCCTTTACATGGCGAACATATTATGAGCATTACAGTTCAAGGGCTACCTATGTGGGACAGTGATGGGGGTCTCTGGCTGCAACTGTCCTTGCTGCTTGATCAGCTCCTGTTGTCTGTTGGACACGTCGTGGATGTGGAAGAACGCAGCGCTCAGCTCCTCCTGCAAATGGAAACAGGTAAAAGGGTTTTGGGTAGATGGGTTGGTGAGGAGGTGGATTTTTTGGGTTATGGAGCTTGAGCTGTGTCCTGCATGTAGGTAGAAGTTGGACGGGGTACAGCGGGGAGCGAAGTAGGTTGGCAGGTAAACAGAGTTAGGGGAGAAGTTAATGGGTTAAGAAAAAAAATTAACATTTTCGAGCCGCCTAGTCAAAGTGTGAATTTGAATCCGATTGAGATGCGGTGGTGTGACTTTAAATGATCAGTTCAGGCTAGAAAACCCTCCAACATGGCAGAGACGAAGCAATTCTGTGAAGAAGAACAGTGGGTCAAAATTCCTCCACGGCGATGTGACTCACTATTATCGGAAACGCTGGATTTCAGTTTTTGCAGCCAAGGGTGGAGCAACCCATTATTAGGTTCAGGGGGCAATTACAGGTAGGTTTGGATTTTGGATATTAAAATTGGTCTGATGAACTGAAATCTTTGTGTGTGATAAGTATGCAAGAACACAAAAATCAGGAAACGGGCAAATACTTTTTCACGGCACTGTAGATTGGAATGTGAAGCTGAGTTTGAGACATTGTACAGTGTAGGGAGAGTATGACAAGTAGGTAGGCTAAGGAAGTAGGTAGAAAGGAGTCGGGTAGGTAAGGTTTTTTGGGGGTTTTTTTTGCTAAAAACGCCTTCCGACACATGCTCGTTTTTTTGGGCTGCCAAAAACGCCTTACTATACTATGTCGTTTTTTTTCGGCAAAAAACGCCGTGCTATACATGGTCATTTTTTTCCGCTAGAAAACGCCTCACTCTACATGCTCGTTTTTTGGGGTGCCAAAAACGCCTTACTATACTATGTCGTTTTTTTTCGGCAAAAAACGCCGTGCTATACATGGTCATTTTTTTCCGCTAGAAAACGCCTCACTCTACATGCTCGTTTTTTGGGGTGCCAAAAACGCCTTACTATACTATGTCGTTTTTTTTCGGCAAAAAACGCCGTGCTATACATGGTCATTTTTTTCCGCTAGAAAACGCCTCACTCTACATGCTCGTTTTTTGGGGTGCCAAAAACGCCTTACTATACTATGTCGTTTTTTTTCGGCAAAAAACGCCGTGCTATACATGGTCATTTTTTTCCGCTAGAAAACGCCTCACTCTACATGCTCGTTTTTTGGGGTGCCAAAAACGCCTTACTATACTATGTCGTTTTTTTTCGGCAAAAAACGCCGTGCTATACATGGTCATTTTTTTCCGCTAGAAAACGCCTCACTCTACATGCTCGTTTTTTGGGGTGCCAAAAACGCCTTACTATACTATGTCGTTTTTTTTCGGCAAAAAACGCCGTGCTATACATGGTCATTTTTTTCCGCTAGAAAACGCCTCACTCTACATGCTCGTTTTTTGGGGTGCCAAAAACGCCTTACTATACTATGTCGTTTTTTTTCGGCAAAAAACGCCGTGCTATACATGGTCATTTTTTTCCGCTAGAAAACACCTCACTCTACATGCTCGTTTTTTGGGGTGCCAAAAACACCTTACTATACATGGTCGTTTTTTTTTTGGTTTTTTTTTTTTGCTAAAAACGCCTTCCGATACATACTCGTTTTGTGGGGGCTAAAAACGCCGTGCTATACATGGTCATTTTTTTCAGCTAAAAAAAGGCCTTACTCTACATGCTCATTTTTTTGGGCTCCCAAAAACGCCTTACTATACATGGTCGTTTTTTTTTTTTTGTTTTGTTTTTTTTTGCTAAAAACGCCTTCCGATACATGCTCGTTTTGTGGGGGCTAAAAACGCCGTGCTCTACATGGTCATTTTTTTCGGCTAAAAAAATGCCTTACTCTACATGCTCGTTTTTTTGGGCTCCCAAAAACGCCTTACTATACATGGTCGTTTTTATTTATTTATTTTTTTGCTCTAAACGCCTTCCGATACATGCTCGTTTTGTGGGGGCTAAAAACGCCGTGCTATACATGGTCATTTTTTTCCGCTAGAAAACGCCTCACTCTACATGCTCGTTTTTTGGGGTGCCAAAAACGCCTGAATATACATGGTCGGTTTTTTTTTTTTTTTTTTTTTCTAAAAATGCCTTCCGATAAATGATTGTTTTTTTACTATCCATGGTCGTATTTTTTTTGTTTTTTTTTTGTTTTGTTTTTTTTGTTGCTAAAAATGCCTTCCGATACATGCTCGTTTTATGGGGGCTAAAAACGCCATGCTATACATTGTCAGTTTTTTCGGCTAAAAACACCTTACTCTCCATGCTCGTTTTTTGGGGCTGCCAAAAACGCCTTACTATCCATGGTCGTATTTTTTTTGTTTTTTTTTTGTTTTGTTTTTTTTGTTGCTAAAAATGCCTTCCGATACATGCTCGTTTTATGGGGGCTAAAAACGCCATGCTATACATTGTCAGTTTTTTCGGCTAAAAACACCTTACTCTCCATGCTCGTTTTTTGGGGCTGCCAAAAACGCCTTACTATCCATGGTCGTATTTTTTTTGTTTTTTTTTTGTTTTGTTTTTTTTGTTGCTAAAAATGCCTTCCGATACATGCTCGTTTTATGGGGGCTAAAAACGCCATGCTATACATGGTCATTTTTTTTCGCTAAAAAACGCCTTACTCTACATGCTCGTTTTTTTTGGGCTGCCAAAAAAGCCTCACTACACGTGGTCGTTTTTTTTGGGGTTTTTTTTTTGCTAAAAACGCCTTCCGATACATGCTCGTTTTTTTGGGCTGCCAAAAACGCCTTACTATACATGGTCATTTTTATTTATTTATTTTTTTGCTCTAAACGCCTTCCGATACATGCTCGTTTTGTGGGGGCTAAAAACGCCGTGCTATACATGGTCATTTTTTTCGGCTGAAAAACGCCTGACTCTACATTCTTGGTTTTTTGGGCTGCCAAAAACGCCTTACTGTACATGGTCGGTTTTTTTTTTTTTTGCTAAAAACGCCTTCCGATACATGCTCGATTTATGGGGGCTAAAAACGCCATGCTATACATGGTCATTTTTTTCGGCTGAAAAACGCCTGACTCTACATTCTTGGTTTTTTGGGCTGCCAAAAACGCCTTACTATACATGGTCGTATTTTTTTTGTTTTTTTTTTTTGTTGCTAAAAACGCCTTCCGATACATGCTCGATTTATGGGGGCTAAAAACGCCATGCTATACATGGTCATTTTTATTTATTTTTTTGCTAAAACCACCTTCCGATACATGCTCGATTTATGGGGGCTAAAAACGCCATGCTATACATGGTCATTTTTATTTATTTTTTTGCTAAAACCACCTTCCGATACATGCTCGATTTATGGGGGCTAAAAACGCCATGCTATACATGGTCATTTTTTCGGCTAAAACACGCCTCACTCTACATGCTCGTTTTTTTGGGCTGCCAAAAACGCCTTACTGTACATGGTCGATTTTATTTATTTTTTTGCTAAAAACACCTTCCGATACATGCTCGTTTTGTGGGGGGTAAAAACGCCATGCTATACATGGTCATTTTTTTCGGCTAAAAAACGCCTCACTCTACATGCTCGTTTTTTTGGGCTGCCAAAAACGCCTTACTATACATGGTCGGTTTTTTTTTTTTTTTTGCTAAAAATGCCTTCCGATACATGATCGTTTTATGGGGGCTAAAAACGCCATGCTATACATTGTCAGTTTTTTCGGCTAAAAACACCTTACTCTCCATGCTCGTTTTTTGGGGCTGCCAAAAACGCCTTACTATCCATGGTCGTATTTTTTTTGTTTTTTTTTTGTTTTGTTTTTTTTGTTGCTAAAAATGCCTTCCGATACATGCTCGTTTTATGGGGGCTAAAAACGCCATGCTATACATGGTCATTTTTTTTCGCTAAAAAACGCCTCACTCTACATGCTCGTTTTTTTTGGGCTGCCAAAAACGCCTTACTATACATCGTCGTTTTTTTTTTTTTTTTTGTTGTTTTTTTTTTTTTTTGCTCTAAACGCCTTCCAATACATGCTAGCTTTGTGGGGGCTAAAAACGCAGTGCTATACGTGGTCATTTTTTTTCGGCTGAAAAACACCTTACTCTACATGCTCGTTTTTTTTGGGCTGCCAAAAAAGCCTCACTACACGTGGTCGTTTTTTTTGGGGTTTTTTTTTTGCTAAAAACGCCTTCCGATACATGCTCGTTTTTTTGGGGGCTAAAAACGCCGTGCTATACATGGTCATTTTTTTCGGCTAAAAACGCCTTACTCTCCATGGTCAGTCGGTAGGACCTCGATTTTGGCAGGTAGATAGGAATGATGGAGGTTGGTACAGTTAGTGTTCCGTATCAGGAGCTCTGTAAAATGTGTAGGAGTTTGTGTTTGGTAGGTGACCGAGCACAACACACACCTCAGTGTGTGTAGATAAACAAATAGTGTCATCCATAAATCGTCCTTGTGTGAGTCCCGATGAATGGCTACCTCTTAATGTCTAAAATAGCCGCCTTCCTGTCTAATATATTACATTACTCTGCTGCCTCCATTCAGTCAGATGTTCCTCATTAGGCTACTGATGCTTTTCCACATCCATCGAGAACACACTCATCGTGCATGTGTGTGTGTATGTGCATTGGATGAGGAAGGTTCACTTCATGGTGTGATCAGCACCTTGAAAGTGTTGAGCGTGTTCTTAAGACCCATAATCTTATCATCCACGTCGCTCTGGTGAGCCTGCAGGCTCTCTTCCAGCCGCCGGTCCTTCTTGTGCAGCTCGCACAATTCCACCAGGCAATCGCGGAGCCCCTCGCGCAGCTCCGCCACCAGGCCTTGAAGCTGCGTGGTTAGAACATCATTGATTGTTTATATTTTAGATTTGATGGACGGATGCATGGCGTATTTGCTTTTATTTGAAAGGTTTAGAAAAGGCGAGAGATGTTTGGTGGAAATGAAATGACACAAACCGTTAAGATGTGAATTCAGAGATTTGTTTCTACATTTGTTGTACATGTTTGAAGAGTAATTGCTCTAAAGACTGAGAACTATGTAGTACGCAATTATGCCACGTTGATCCCTTTTTCACCATTTTAGTTTTCTTGATTTTTTTTTTTTGGGGGGGGGGGGTCTTTACTAAAACGACCCCGCACAAAGCACTAATATCGAGCGAATATACGAACTTGAGTGCCTTTGTTCACATCAGCAGTTTTCTACGAGCTGTGCCCTCCAACCCCCTCCCCCCAAAAAATTCAATCTATGGTTTGCTGGCGTGGCCACTTCAGAGCGCCATGTTGTTGGCAGTGAGTTAGCACACGTCACGTAGTTATACTTCACGTCAGGTAGAAGACTTATTTGCGAGATATAGAATTGGGGATTTTCATTCAAAGAAATATTTGAAATCAGTCTGTGAGTAATGTATGAATGAAAATACTGTAATATACAAGATTCACCTTTTGAAAGGGATTCCTGAAACGTCAGAGCCTTCGGGTGCAGCAGACACCAAATGGAGAGTGGGGTTTAAAAAAAAATAAAATAAAACGCATGCCTCCCGCCTGATGCCTTTCACATGACCCGCACGCAGAGATGGAAAGATGGAGGACAGAAAGAGCGAGCGAGAGACAGAAAGTGTCCTTGCCTTGAGGTGATTCACTTATCCTGGGAAATGTGAACATGCGTATGGAACTTGATGTTTTCTGATCACTATGACGTCAAAATGCCGGCGTCGTGTTGACTGGCACTGTTAACAGTGTTCATTATTGTAGATTTTCACTCGTGTACAACTGCGCCACGTTAAAACTGTTTTCATTTTCGTGTTGAGGGCATGATGGAAACTCAGGCCTGAAGTCTCCCTGCTGCTTGATTAATTAAGTAAATTGTTTTCATGTTAAACTGGTGTATATGATTAGAATTCTGGTTGGGGGTTGACAGCATAAAACTTTTTAACATAAAATACATGTAAATAGTTAGCGGGACAATGCTAACAATGCTTCTTACCTGCGCTACCTCCATGTGAGCATCCTGCACACTTTTATCTTCTTCTTTATCTGGACAAATAAAAGCACAATTGAGTTCCAAATACAAAAATAAATGAAAATAAACAAATGTAGAAGCCACAAAATGGCACCAAAGCACTTTTTTCCCCATTTGACAGAGCTATGGCTTAGCGAATTGAAGCTCCTCCCCTCGGCTCAATAAACACACAGCTATACCGTTCGTTAGATGGCACCAAAATATAATATTTTAATGCAGTGGTGCCTTGGAATAGCAGCACTGAACTGAACTTCACCTCAGGAAGAAATTTGGCAGATAGTGTCCAATTAAAAAAAAAATAAAAAATGTTTATTCTCAAACCAGCTAGCTTAATGCTATACACAATGCCAAACTCCAACGATGGGCTCAGGAAGCTAGCATTGATGTTGTAGTTAGAACTCTTTCACGGTATCATAATGCATGCATGCTTGGAAGTACACGCCATTCTTCTCCACACGTCATTCATACATATTCCCGAATGGAGAAAGTACCGTTTGTGCGCAATTTACGTCTCTGCGACATGCAACGTGACATTAGCCTCACAACGATCTCCATTTGTCCCATGAATGTCAAAGGTGAGCAGCGCTGTGTGAAATACACACTCAGCATTGACAACACACACAGACGACGAACCTGGCTTGAAGGCACGGCAAAGTAACTTTGCTGTCATGTGAACAGACGCACAAGAAAGGACACAGTGTTGCTACCCTGACATGCCGGAGGGCTGCTCAAAGGGCGCGAAAGGCAAATTATACTAGAAAAACAAATTTGTTACATTCCAGCAATTTACAACAACACAAAAATACACATCATATACGAGAAAATGTGACTATTGCCAAAATGTGATTGATGCCAGACTGATTTAGAACCATATTCCATTTCCTAAATAATAAAAGCCATGTATGTAGACGTGTTTATTGTTGAGTAATGCAAGGCGAACTCGTCCAAAATACAGTATCGTTCCAAGATGTGAAGCAAGTCTCGTACCACTGGCACGAGAGCAGAGCATGTGACTTTTTCATTGTTTCACCATCAAGTCAAAATTGGAATTTTAGGACATGATTTATCCACTAACACCTACTCCCTACACTTATTCGGTAATATAAGAAACTAACAAAAAATAAAATAAATCACTCCGGTGTGCATGACAACGTACATCTGCAAAACATACTGTACAACATACTGTTCTTCGATAACAATTTTGGGGGAAAATGGACAAACTTTATTCATTCTTGAAATTTCCATGAGTAACCACCCAAAATGCATAATAAAGAGTGTTGACTAATTGTCAAAACATTGTTGAGGGGATGGGGGGGAGGTTAGTGATGTGATTCTGTCCTATAATCCATGAAAAGAGTTGAAGTACTGTCTAAAAGTCATTTCTGAAGGAGAGCTTTATGAGCCCACAACTCCCATCCTAAGTATGAAAACAAATGCTTAACTTTGCATTGTTTACCCGTGGAACTTGGGAAAATGCTTTCAAGACACTGATTATAAAAAATATAAAAAAAATAAATAAATAATCATTTTATCAAGACATTTTGGATAGTAGTATGCACCTGACAGTTTTAAGAAGCCACTTTTCCGTTCCCAAGTTCTATTTACAAAATCAAGACTTTAGTAGAGAGTATGAAGTAGTTTCGCAAACTCTGCTGACATGTCAGTCAAAGACTATATAGTGATATACAGGTACTGGAGTGCAGACTCAGCTCCTCATTTAGCTTATCAGTACGGCAGTAATATTAGTAGTTCATATCACAGACTTGTGCTCTTCCTTTTTATGTTTTACTGTCTGAGCGAAGTGTAGTAAAATGACCCCCACCCCACACAAAAAAAAATCATACCTTTTTTGCGTGGTGACACATTTTCTGTGTAATCCTGACCTTCTTGTGGATCATCCTCCATATTTTAATCCTTCCAGTGCAGTCCACTCTTTGCATGCGTTGTCACCTCCTGTAAAGAACGAGAAGAACATGGAAGAAGATGCTGACGATGATGATGATTAAATCGAAGGGCCTGCATTAGCGTCCCACCCCTGCAAACAGCACGTGAGTCCTGTGATTTGTCTTGTGCACACAAACGGGTCTTTGTTTGTGCGGAGGCCGCACAGGCAGATGTTAAAGCATCAAATCTGTTCATTTTTCGGCTATTTATTGTCACGCCCAGATTAATTTTACTGTCAAACTAAACATAAAAACAAAGAGAATTGCACATTGTGTATTTAAAACAACATCAACAACTTGGCCTTAAATTCTGGTCGTGTAATGTTAGCACATAGTGGGAAACACCATCGTCTACAAAATAGCATCTATATAGTCGCATTCTAACCCTTTGAGCAATTAATATTTGAACACAAACAGTGGAGCAGCACATATAGACAGATCATATAGCAATACTCATAAGTACATTCTTCATTCTCGATAAAGAACAAATAATACTGCTGCAGCTTCCTGAAAAGCTGAGATCAGCTCCATGGACAATAGATCTGTGGGTTTGTATTAAATCATGACAGAAGGAGCACAATGAATGAATCAATCGAAGCAAAAATAATTGAATTAAAAGAACTGGATTTTAAAGTACGTTTTGGGCGTTTTGTTTCACCATCAGGTCACATCGCAACCGTTTGGTAAAGGATTCCATTTTTTGAAACCAAAAGGAAATATAAAATGCTTACTTTTTGCTGTGGTGGTTGTTTTCAGATACTTTTTGAAAAAAAGGTACTCTGGTAAAGGTAGAAGTTCTAATTCAACTGCTTTACTTCGGTAAAAGTAAAAATAGGACCATGTGAAATGTTTTGTGATTGTTTGCGTGCGTGTGCTGCATTCAAGCACGCTGACATGGTGAGAACCGCGTGGACAGAAGTATTGGGACATGAGGGCATGACGCAAGCAGGAAGTAAACACAACACTGACTTGACGCTATGACAGTTTTTGCATTAATTCTTACCTTTCCTCTCTCCTTCCTTTCCTCCCTTTCAGCCTTCCTCATTTCACTCATTCTGTGCCCTTCTCTCCTTTGTTTTTATTCCTGTCAACGTTTTGTCCTTGCCTCGATCCTTTTGTCCTCTCTTTAGTGGTCACTCCTTTCGTTACCTCCAACCTTCCCTCGATACCTCCTCATTTTCTTCCTTTTTTTACTCCATCTTTACATCTTCTTTCTTTTATCCCCGCTTTTCTTCCCTTCCTGTTTTCTTTCTTCACCCCTCCCACTTTTGATTCTCTTCCTTTCCTTCAATCTTATTTTTCCTCCATTCCTTCCTTGATTGGTTCATTCTTTCTTTCCCTCTGTCACCTTCCTCTCATTCTACCTGCTATCTCGGACTTCCTTTCCTGGTTTCCTTTTTCCACCCTCCCGTTCTTCCTTCTTAACTTCGTGCTATCCATTCTTTGGACGTCTTTCTTCGCTCCCTTCCATTTTCCTTTCTTCCGTCCTTCTTCCGCTCTCATTTCTTCTCTGTGTATACCTTCCTTCCCTTCTTCCTCCTTCCTTTATCGGCCATCCCGATAACCTGTCCTTTCTTTCCTCCCATTTCTTCCCGCACAGCCCTCTCCGGTCTCCGCGTTAATTCTTTCTTCTTCCCTTCTTCTTTGCTTTTCAATTTTTGAACACGTGAGGACCTCTGTCGGTCATTATTGTGTATTGCGTCTTTTACACTGTGTGTCTTCACGTCGGAGGAAGTCTGAGACAGTGTTTCCTCCGCGTTTGGAATTCCCAAGTGTATCGGAAAAAAACTGAAGGGTGAAATATGTGTTTCATGGGACATGAACTTCCTTCCTTTGGCGCTATATAAATAAAATTGGATTGAACGACGACGGCGATGATGATGATGTAACAACTCGCAGCAGCCTCTCACACGTGCTGCGCGTATTCGCCACACCACATCTGCACGCCTTGACTCCACAGGTGCAAAAAAAGGATGTGTACATGTGTGGCATGCGTGTGCATGACCACATCACATGCACACACGCACGTGAACACCTGTGCCCTGGCAAACTCATGGCGGGAGGAAAAGCAACAGTGCTGTCCGCTTCCTGTGTATAAATAAATTCAGCAGTGTTGTCCGCTTCCTGTGTTTAAAGTCACACTTCAGGCTAATTATGTCGTTGCACTGATAATTTGTTTTTGGTTCAGGATCTTCATCTACAGAAAAGTGCATGCATTTGACGAATATTTTGTTTTACTGTATATGTGTCTCCGTGCACGTGTGTGTGAATGTTGGACAGTTCGTCTTTTTATGCCACTTTTTGTCACTGAGCTTTTTTTATTGCCAAATGTTTGATTTTTTTAATGTTGTTTAAATACAGAATGTGTTTTCTCCGTCTCAGTGCGTGTGTGTCTCGTGATGTCTAAAAGACAAAAAAAAACGGCGTTACTCACGGCGTTACTCTTAATGAGCATTATTATCTTTGTAATGGCACATTTCTATTTTTTTCCTGTATGTTTTGTTTTGTGGCTAACGCGCGCACACACACACGCACACACGCGCACACACGCGCACGTCGCACACACACACGTACACCCAAACCACAAAATGTCTCTTCTCCAAAATATGAAAGATGTCAAAAACGCAAGCCCTTTGACACCTTTCAGCCCGTAACCTTTCCAGTCTTCCCTCACATGCCCACGCAACAACAACAACACACACACACACACACACACACACACACACACACACACACACACACACACACACACACAATGTCGTTGGTAAGGTGACACAAAGGACAACCAGTGAGTTCCTTCTGTGTGCCTTTAAATACAATAGCATCACTTTACACACATTTTTAACTTAAAAAAAAAGTCGTATATTTTTTGCATGGTCCTATGACAGCATGCAGATTCTTTGTCAAAATCGTGATGTTCCTGCTGACATTGTGAAGACCTTGATTCACATGTGCGTGGGGGGAAACACCATCAGCTCCTGCCCCCCCCCCAACCTTTGAATCTTTTATCTGAATATCTGCATCCTGCTGCCAAAATATCACCTGGTTGTAGGCGCGCTTGTGCGAATGCGCAATGCGCCGTCGGTGGAAATTCGCACACAAAAACACGTGAAGTTGAAAATACATGAAGAGAAAAATTGGTGAGAAAATGTCAGCAGGTTGTGTCATTGTGTCACAACACATGCTGGAGCCTTTTCGTGACATTTAGACACGCACGCGCACACACACATGCACACACAGGGCTATGTTGTTTCGACCACACAGCAGTCTTTTTTTTTTATATAAATGAATTTTTCATCACAAAAAAAAAAGCTCCTGTTATGTGACAGATTCCATCTTGTTTTTTAATTTTATATTTTTATTTTACGTGGATATTTTTTAATTATCTACGAATACATAATAAAAAGGAAAATGACTGCATTAGAAAAATAAGATGCGTGTGTGTGTGTGTGTGTGTGTGTGTGCGTGTGTGTGTGTGTGTGTGTGTGTGTGTGTGTGTGTGTGCCACTGCTGTTTAATCACAGCCAAGTGAGAACAACTGTACTAGCACACCAGTGCAAATCCTCAACAAGCGGAGAACACATGCGTGGGTGCCCCCCTCTGCCCCCCCCCCACACACACACAAGCATGTACACAAGCACTTAAATTCTTTACTGTGTGTAATTTAAACCCAAAGAAGAGACAAGGGCAGCCAGAATGTAAGATAAATTAGTATTGTGACCAATTAACAGTGAAAACAACAATTTTGTACAGTCACATTGTGACATATTGGCAAAGAGGGAGGACGACAATATTTTCAGATCCCTCCTGTTAAACGAGATCCACTTGTGATCTGAGACTGGGTCATTCGAGGACATTGACGGGGTTGTTCTTGAAGCCACTCCTTCCATATCTCGGCTGTGTGCTTAGAAACGTTGAACTGCCGAAAGATAAACCCTCAACCAGTCTGAGGTCAACACTGCTGCTGTAGGCCACGACTCACGCCCACACACTCACCCCTAGACGAACCGGCTTCTGCTCCGGTTGTCACTCAGTCGGCCATACCCCTGAAAGGCACACCTTCAACAACACACCAATACATGATATGACATTTTGCAACAATACGGCACTATTTCTCTTTATCAAAACGGGAAATTAATTTGACATATACGCCACTGTTAGAAACGTACCCAGAGGCATTCAGCTCACATGTAAATACATTCAAGTATTGTATTAACACACTTTTACAGGGAACTTACGCAACCTCTGCGTGAAAGGGGTGATTAAGGACCCGTGTGTGTTTGTGTGTGTGTCACATAGCTGTGACCTCTCACAGGATGGTGTTAGGTCTTCAGAGTCACAGCGCTATTGTGTCCCGACCTCTCAAGTTGCACCCAGTCAATATCATGAAGCACGCGCGTGCACACACACACATACACACACACCATGCACACACACACACCAACTATTAGTCCAGGTGGCTGCTATTGTCCGATGAGGAGAGTTGGGGGTAGAGGTCATGGATCACCGCATGGGAACCAATTGGCGTTCCATTAGTGGAGCATTGCATTTGGTATTAGCTCATGAAAAGGCGCACGGGCACGCACGCACACACACACACACACACACACACACAAACACACACACGCACACACACACACACACACACACACACACACAGAGGGGTCACCATACAAGTAAGTTTACACTTGTATGGTGGTGTTTACTGGCTGGTACTGTTGTCAATTTGTTCAACATGTAGCATGTAGTGTGGAGCAGTGCTAATTTAGTATATATAAACATATGTGTGTGTGTGCGCGGCACCGTGGGCGACTGGTTAGCACACCAGCCTCACAGTGCAAAGGTCCAGGGTTCAACTCTGACTCCAGCCTTCCTGTGTTGGGTTTGGATGTTCTCCCCGTGTCTGCGTGGGTTTTCTCTGGGTATTTCAGATTCCTCCCACATTCCAAAAACATGTGCAGCATGTTCATTGAACACTCTAAATTGTCCCTAGGCGTGACTGTTAGCACGAATGGTTTGTTCGTCGATGTTTGCCCTGCGATTGGGTGACAACCAGTTCAGGGTGTCGGCCGCCTACTGCCCGAAGACAGCTGGGTTAGGGTCCAGCACGCCCGAGACCCTCAAGAGGAAAAGCGGATTAGATAATGGATGGATATGCAGAATCTATAGCTAGATAGATAAATAGATATAACGCAATGTGCCCTTTACTTAATATTTTGATTAACTCATTCAGTACCAGCCATTTTCAGACCCGTATAAAAAAGAAAGCTTGGAAAAAAGAAAACCTAAGTACATGGGATTAAATGTGTGAAGTCTGAAAATACATACAAATATGTCTTTGGGAGTGAATGAGTTAAAAAAGAGGTACAATTGCAAAAGAAACAAACCTTCAGCTGCCTTACTGCACTTGGCCCATCAGGGGGCAGTGGCGACAGAGTAAAAAGCCAGTTGTGGAGTCAGGCCTGAGGCCCCGCCCACGATGCTGAATACAAATAACCCCGACGCGCAGCCGGAGACCCTAGTAGGAGAGACGACCGCCGGTCGGTGAGCACCTAGCGGAACACAGGAAGGAAACCTCACACAAAAGACATTCCGTTGGACTTGTTGATCTACTCTCACACATTGTTCAACACGGATTTGTTCAGCACAACTTTGAGGATTTATTTGGACTTTTCTCCGGGGAACTACTTCATTCGACTCACTGGTATTTTTGTCGATATTGTTGTTATTACTTCGAAATACAGATAATTTAAACAGTGTTCGACGAGCCCGTCGACATGTGTCACCACTGACATGCAAAGGTGAGTCCGAACCGGATGCGAACGGTACTTATTTTCTCATATTTATTGGCTTTTGTAACAATTACGAAGTCGCGATTGCCTCGGGGCTCGCCGGCGCGTCAGCTGTCACGCTGCGTCGCTTCAAGGCAACACATTTCCAAACATAATTGCTTAAGAACGAATTCAAATTAATCTTTATAAGCGTGTTTTTTAGAATATTTGTCCCCTCAAAGGGTCTTAATAATATAGCTTATAGGGACTTTACTGTTTCTTGATTCTTTTTTGTTTCCCTGACTTTGGGTCCCATTGAATGGTGCGTTTACGGTCTTCACTAAATACATTTGAGGCGCTATAATTAAGCAAAAACAACAACAGCGTCGATGTTTTTAATAGTGTTTTAAAGTGTCGAATCTCCACGAGTTCGCGGGGTTCACGCCCCCCCCCCCTCCCGCCCTCGTTTTTTTTTCTTTCGTGGTGTTACGTGACAGGTCGGCGCAGACTGGTTCACCTGCATGTTTTTTTTTCGGAATGGTGAGAATAATAATAACAATAAAAAACACATAGGGAGCGAACAGACTGACGCCGGTTTTCGGTGCGGTGGAGAGGAGATGCTTGTGTGGGCATTGGCCTGCTGAGGGCGCGCATGTCTCACGTGCAGACGAGGACGCGCGCACGCTACAAATAATAACAACGACATGTCGCGTCAATAAAAATAATGGTGACAATTTCAATGTTTGACATATGACTGGAACAAATCATGTTGTCACATTATTAACATTGCGCAAAGACGGTGATTAATCGGCGCAAAATTTGGCTCTATTGCCCCCCCCCCTCCCCACTCAAAAAAAAGAATAATAATGCAAAAGAATAACTTTAAAATGAGAATTAACGCGCATCCAATGTGTCGGCAACCAGGAGAGTCTTTGTGGCTGCGCGCCGAGGAAGTCGCTTTCAGTTTGGACAAACAGGAAGAGATACATTTTCCACTCCCCACGAATATATAAATACTGTCATGCCATTTACTTTTCAGCAGTTTGGTTCACGGGTAAAAGCGTGAAAACAATCACCTGAGAGAGTAATCGACTGAAAGAGTCACTGCATGGTGTGGTAGGTGAGGGTTAATAAGACAACAAAAAATTGGCTGCGATAATATTTTTCCCCTTTGACCATGTTGGGATGTGACGCATTTTGAAAGTGTGCTTCCTTTTCACACGCGAGGCTCGACAAAGTTCCACAGAAAAAAAATACTTTCAATACTTTACACCGGCGCCACTTTGGACGCCGTGGAACTTGAGGAGAAATTCTGCAGGGCGACCGGTGGGTGATACACTCAAATTCCTTTCGGTGGTAAAAAGTGTAATCCGATTGAAGACGAAAGGACACGCCGCAGCCTTTAGAGGGGGAGACGCAGGAGTCGAATGGTTCTGGCAACTCGCGTTGACGGTGCCGTCGCGTTCACCTCCGCAGATCTCACGGGGCTGCAGTGACCACAGAAGCGACCGCAGGACGTCCGCGGCCTCAGCCGAGCGAGAGCCGCAAAGAGCAGCGGGACTCCGGCGTCTGCTGGCCCGATACCGAGGGAGGCGGTGCAGGAGGATCACCCGCCGCGGTCGCGCC